CCTCCCTCCCCGCAGCGGCGGCCGGGCCGGGCGTGGGATGCTCCGGCCCGGGAGGGAGCAGCGCTCCACGAGGTGGCAGCAGGCCCCCTCTTTCCTGCGTGGAGAGATCTCTCGTTTAGGAGACGAGCAGAGCGGATGCTGGAGAAGACCCCGACAGCGCGTCTCAGCCCAGCGCTACGGCGTGCCTGAGAGCATCTTCCGCAAAAAGTCCCCTCTCGAGGCGAGGAAAAAGACCAGCAAGAACAAACTCCGATGCTGAGAAGTAGAGCTCGTGAGTTAATATGGAACAGCATCTGGCCCTAGAGCTGCCTGCCCCTGGAAGTTGTACTTGATCCTATTCCTCAGCTTTAACTGAATGTTAAAACCGAAAGTCTAATGGCAGGAATAGCTTTACTGCCCTTCCCATGTCGGCAGGCCAGGTTATACCACTTCCCTCTCCATCACCCAGAAAGGGCTGTCCATTTTTTAAGCGAATCTGTGCAATGTTGTGGTTAGACAGACCACGGTCCAGCTTCTGGAAACCTTGGTGAATCGGGACTGTGGAGCTCCCTTGGGTTCCCCGTAGCCCCCCAGCCCTGGGGAGGGAGCTGAGCTTAGCGCTGCTCTCCGGAAAGGCTGGCAGGACACGCCGGCACACGGGGCTGGGGGCTTGGGGGACAGTCAGGAAACAGGATAGCACAACCGGGGGCCACAGCCACCGTCTGGACCCCGCAATGCATCCCCTTTCCTCTGGCACTCCTGGGCACACCCTACGCACAGCTCCTGCATCCAGCCCTGGTCATGAGCAAGGGAGGCAGGGGCTCACAGGGCAGCTGCTCACTCTGCCGGCCTGGCATCCCCCCATCCCCTCCCCTTTGAACTTGAGCCCCCACCCCCTTGTCTCTATATCCTCACACAGCTGCATACCCACCCCAGCACCGCTGGCTGGAGACGAGCCACCTGGGCAGGGCAGGGCTGGGGTGGACAGAGGGATGCACAGCACCCTTTGGTCACCCTCCCAAACCCATGGGGGCTGGGGGGGGGGGGGGGGGGGGGGGGGGGGGGCCCCCCCCCCCCCCCCGGGGGGGGGGATGCTGTGGATCCCACCCTGCCCAC